TATGGCTTGAAAACACTTTCTCCCATTCTTTGACTTTTCTTTCTTCCTCTTCCTTCTCTGCTTCCATCCCTCCCTCTGACAGGCTGTCCTGAAACTCTTTGCCCAAAATTACCTTGGACATCTAGTCTTCTTCCCAACAGCTGGGATTGCAAACGTATACCACCATGGTCAGACACCATAGACCAAACCCAGGCCATGCCAGGCAAAGACTGTTAGCAGCTGAGCTACACGCCTCAGACCCCTCGCTTGCCCTTTCATTTTGTGGGGTCCAGCTTACTCACTCTCCCTTTGATCATCCATGCTTTTGGCCAAATCTCAACTCTGCCAACTCCTAGATATTTAAAATTAGCAGTTACAACTTTTTCTAATAGTGTTACAGGTTTGGGATTCTATTGTTTGTTTCTTTTCCTTAACAGGATCTTGTGATATAGCCCAGACTAGCCTCACACTGCCGCCCCCACCCCCCAAATTCTGGGGTTATAGTCTGTGCCACCATGGCTGCCCAGTTCACAGCAGACATTTATTCTTAGACTCTAAAATCTTCCCTCTCCTTAGAAACAACAATTTTAATATGGGTCTCCCACATGGATATTTCCTTCAGGTCTTCCAACACAGGACTATTCCCATTTAATTTCCATTCACTTATGTCCACTTTTATTCCTTCACAAGTGTAATGTAGTCTTCACCACACACCCTGCTCACAGTTGTCTTAGATTTACGCTTAAGCATCTTCATGTTTTTTTGCTTCTTTTTTGCTATTATTTTGAAACAGAAGCTCATTGTATGGTCCCTGTGGGCTTTGAACTCACAATCTTTCCACCTCAGTCTCCCAAATGCAGTGATTATAGGCACATACCGCTGTGCACTGCTAGTATTTTCATTTTTTGGAAAGCAATTGTATACGTGATTGGTCAGAATTACAATATTGCAGCTCAAGTGGGAAATGGTGGTGATGACTTTAAAAGGTAAACATAGAATTACCATATGATCCATTATTCTGCTCCTAGGTATAAATCCGAAATAATTGAAAAGTGTCAGTCAAAAATATGTGCACAAAAATGTTTTTAAAATATGTGTACATAAATGCTCTTGGAAGAAATATTCCTAATAGTTGGGAATGAGAACAGTTCAAGTGTCCGTGATGAGATGAAGGCTAAACAAATTGTATGCATACAACTTGTGGTATTCATTCATCAAAAAGGGATGGGATTCAGATGCCTGTTACCGTGAGAGTAAAGCTTGAGGACACTGCACTGGAGGAAATAAACAAACTTGCACCTGTATGATTCCATTTATATGAAATATACATGTTAATTAAATCCACAAACACAGAGAACAGACTGGAGGTTGACAAGGGAGGGAGAAGCAGGCAGCAAACTTTTGTACCTGGTTTCACTTGGGGGTGACATAAATGTTTTGGAACTGGAGATGGTTATAACACTAAATGTATAAAATGCCAACTGTCCACTTAAAATGGCTACCTTATGAAAATACAGCTAAAATCTGTGATATTTTTTAAATTTGCTTTTTAATGTGTATGAGTGTTTTGCCTGCATGTATGTATGCATACTGCATGCATACCTGGTACCTGTGGAGGACATCAGATCCTGAGCCACCAGTGATGTGGGTACTGGGAACAGAAGCTGAGTTCTTTGGAAGAGCATCCAGTGCTCTTAACCACTTGAACCCTCTCTGGCCCCCGGTGTTTGTGTTTTTGTTTTGTTCCTTTTGCTATACTGGGGATCAGATGCAGGGCCACACACCTGGTAGGTAAGCTGTCACCTCCTGAGCTACAGCCCCAGGAAGTCTTGTATTTTTACTTTCAGTGCTTATGTGCTCATCTCTAGTATACAGGAATTCAATGGACTTTTTGTATTTTATCTTGTATCCCCTGATCCAGTCGGACTTACTTCATTGATTGTAGAGATTTAAAAAAAAAAGGAAAGAAAAACCTCCCTTGGTATGTTCTATTTGGACAATTATGTCAACCATGTATAAATAGGGATGGTTCAATTTACTGTTTTAAAAATTATATCTAAAGTAAGTGTGTGTGTGTGTGTGTGTGTGTGTGTGTGTGTGTGTGTTTACAAAAGAATTCAGAGAAAAACCTGAAGGAGTCAGTTTTCTCCTTTTACCATGTGGGTCCTAGGGATGAAACTCAGGTCATCAGGCTTGGCAGCAAGTCTTTACCTGCAGAGACATCTCACTGGCTGAATTTACTGTTTGTACTCTTTCTTTCTGCCTTACTGCACAGTCTGTAACTTGTAATGGTGTTGAATGAGTAGGGAGAGCGTGTATCTTTCTTATTCCCAATTTTAGGGGGAAGCATTCATTGTAGCGTTACCAACAGTGATTTTCATAAACCCTGTAAAATTTAGCTCCCTTTTTGTATTTTTCTGAGTGTTTTGTTTGTGAATGGGTGTTGGCATGTGCCAAATGCTCTTCCTGCATCAGCTGATATGTGGCTTTTGGTTTTTTTAACCGATATGTGGCTTGACAGATTTGCAAATACCACATCATCAAGACATCTCTGGAATGTCTCACAACTCTTAGATATGGACGAATCCTATTAACTCCTGATTCCCTAAGCATGTTTTGTTTTGTTTTTTGAAATCCAACACTCATCATGAATACTTAATTTTTCCCTGGGGGTTTTTTTTTTTTTTTTTTTTTTTTTTGGTATTATCTTTGTTGGTTTGGGTACCAAGCTAATACTTCATAAAAATGAATTAGGTAAGATTAGCAACAGTTGTTTCCTTTGCTTCACACTTACCTTGTCTGAGACTAGCAAGATTCTTGTTTGCTTTGGCTCACATCTGCATCCCACAGCTTTGTCCACCATTCCCTTTCAAACTGCTTCACTCCTTACAGTGGAAGTTTCTTGTAAACAGCAAGAGGCTAGACATATTTTAAATACATTTTTCCAATTTCTTTTAATTAACATACTTAAGTTTACTTTTACATGTTTAAGTGTTTGCCTACATGTATATATCTATACCACATGTATGCTGGGTGCTGAGGAGGCCAGGAGAGGGTATTGGATCTCCTGAAACTGGAGTTACAGGTGGTTGTGAGCCGTTGTGTGGGTGCTGGGAACCAAATCCAGGTCTTCTGAAAGAGCAGTGAGCACTTTTAACCACAGACTCTTCGGCAGCTCCAATGGCACACTTAGAACACTTGCACTTAATATGATGATTGCTATGCTGAAACATAACTCTGCCATTCCAGTTTTGCTTTTTAGTTGAAACTGGCTGAATTCATGATCCTCCTGTCTCAGCCTTTCAAGTATTGGTGTTTTCTTTTTTAAATTTTAAGTTTTCTTTTTAAGTAAGTCCTTTCTGCATTTGTTTTATTGGTTGCCTACTGGTGTATTTTACACATTCAAATACAGAACTGGTATCTGCTTTCCTCTAACCACGCTGTCTTTAGGACCTTGGCAGTTAGCATTACAACTTTTGCTCCATTGTCAAGTGTTAAGTAGGAGATTGAGAAGGGAAGCCTATTGCATTTATCCCAGGTTTTCTCACTAGGACCCTTTTATTTTATGATGCTCAACACTTCCTTTTATTATTTCTTTTCTGTTTATTATTTAGGGCAGGGTGGCTAATGATTTTATTTATTTTGGCTTTGCCTTCTCTCTTACTTTGCCCTCATTCTCAGAGATTCTGGGGGTGTTCTGGTTTTGCTTTGTTGTCTTCATGAAGAGTGCTTTCTTCTGGCCTCCACCATTTCTGATGGGTGGAGCAATCATCAACATGGCTTTTTCTCTGAAAGTGTTACTTCTCATTATGTTCAAGAATTGATTTTCCAAACTTTGACCCTGGGATTGTTTTTGGTGTGTATTTCTTTGGGCTTGCTTAAGACCCACTCAGCTTCTTTGCCCTTCGCAAAAGTCAGCCTGCCTTTTTCCTGCAAATTAACGCTTCTGTTAGGAGTCAACTGGGCTCCAAAATCTCTTGGCTAGTGTTCATCACCCAGTTCATTCATTCTTTCCTTTGTCCCCATCATTCTGCTGGGGGACATAGACAGATTTTTTTAGATAGTTTTAAAGTTTTAGCTCTATTTTTAATCTAAAACCACCATTTGAGTCTTTTTTTAATGCACATGGATATTTTGTCATGGGTTTTGGGTCCCCTGGTGCTGGAGTTACAGTCGTTGTGAGCTGCCATGTGGGTGCTGGGATTGAATCGGATCCCTTGAAAGTGCAGTCAGTGCTCTTAGCTACTGAGCCATATTTCCAGCCCCCCATTTGGGTCTTTCTATTCTCTGCTTTACTGAGGCTTTCTGTTTTCACTGGCTTCCAGCATGATCCCATTGCTTGCTGTGGCATTTCAATGGTGGCTGTTCAGTCATGGTAAGTGAAGGCATTCTGATGAAGAAGGCACTTTGGCTTGGTGATATACATTTGTTGATGGGCATTGTAAATGGTCACAGGGAGTGGTCTATATTAACCCCAGCTGGTGGCAGAATCAAACTCGTGACCTCCCCTTGTGAGCACCGCACCCTAACCAGCTGAACTAGCTCACTACCACCAATGGCATACTATGCCTGGAGTACATGAAAATCCAGGTTCTCCTCTGAGCCTCTGTTGGCATGGTAGAAGTTAGAGTCTACACTGTTTCTTTATGGCCTAACTGGCGTGTTTGAGCTCTAGACGTTTTACACTGCCAGGCTGTCCCTTTTTTGGTATTATCACTAAAGCAGGCTGTGTGGTTGTGTTCAAGCAATTCTCTTTGGTACTTCTGGGGTACTGTCTTTCTTAGATATAAGCCTGAGCTGTATTAAGCAAAAGAAAGCTCAAGAGAATTTAGTGCTCTGGGGCCTTGGGTCTTAAAGCCCTACTGAAGTCTTTGCCATCTCCCCTCTCAGTTTTGCCCGTTTGTTGCATAAATAATACGTAGAGATTTTAGTTGCACTTAACGGGAGAAACAGAGAAAAGCACACCTACTCCATCTTCCCAGAAATCAGTCCATATATCCCTATTTTAAATTGGTGTGGGCTTTGTCGTTTTTTTTTTTTGTTTTTTTGAGATGAGGCAACACTATACTGACCAGACTGGACTCAAGCAATCCTTCCACCTCAGCCCAGGACTATACTGAGTGCTAGCACACAGATCCATGCCTAGTTAAGTAGCTGTTATAAAAATAACTATACAATCTTCATTTGTGTGTGTATGTTCATAGGGGGGAGGGTGTGCACAGAGGCCAGAGGACAACCTCAGCTGTCATTCCTTGGGAGATGGTCTCTCAGCAGCCTGGGGACTCTCCAAGCAGGTTAGGATGGATGGCTAGGGAGCCCTAGAGACCCACCTGTCTCTGCTTTTCCAGCACTAAGATTGCAAGCTTACAACACCATGCCCAGCTTTCTTTTCTTTTTCTTTTTTTACTGGGGTCTAGGAACTGAACTTGGGTCCTCATGCTTGTGTGGTAAGCAGTTCACCACCTGACCTATTTCTCCAGCTCTAAGTTCCTGTTTTCTCTGCTTTCACTGGTGGGAACAACTGGGGCTAGCAAGTGGGAGCCAAGTTAGTTCTTCCTAAAGGTTCTGGTATCTTATCTTACTCTGAACAGGATGCTCCCAGGCTATTTGTATAATTCCAAGGCCATTTCTTCCCAGTATTTGCTCTTTCAGCTCACAATTCATCTTTCTTTTTCTCTGGGAAAGGGGCTGGCACACTTTGTAGATTCTATAATCTAGGTCCTAACTGTAATTTTTTTCTTAGCTTTTCCAAGAGTTGTTTTGTTGAAAGGCCAAAACCACTGGTTTAAATACAAAACAAAACTGAATCCCCTGCCACACATGATAGCACACACCTGGAACTTTAGATCTAGGAAGGCTGAAAGGCAAGACAATCCTAAATGCAAGGCCATCCAGGACTAAAGCAAGCTTATGTCTCAAAAAAACAAAAGAACCTCCCAAACTTGATGTGATTGCCAATACTAAATGCTAGGCTCTGTCCAAAGCTTGCCACATATTTATGCATGAGCCCTTCAGAATAAGCTGCAGATACAGGTGTTCTGATCATCCCTGTTGGAATAGGCAAGGCAAATAAGGTACAGAGTCTCAAAGAAGCTCAAGTCTCACAATTGGACAGTGGTGACTCAGCTAGGCCTGGTGGCACAGGACTGTAATCCCAACTACAGGAGAAGCTGAGGCAAGAGGGACACAGGTTCAAGGCCAGCGTGGCTCCGGATCCACAGCACCACTTAAGGCCAACTCCATGAGGCTGGGGCAGCTCTGTGCAGTATGAGCTGTGCAGAGGGAGGTGGAGCACTTGCTGGGAAACTGTGGACACACTCACCCTTTGAAGGGCACTGTATCAGCTTTCTGCTTCTCAAAATCTTATCACCAACTCTCTACAGTTGCTTACTCTTAGAAGCTGATCACAAACAAGCAGAAAGCAGACCAAGGGCAGCAATGCGCACTGGGCTGCAAACCTACCCTGTGCCACAGAGCACACTGAGATGCTTCCATGTGACTCGGGATAGAAATGTGTCCGCAGGAGAACCCACAGCCATCACAGCTTACACACTCCAGGACCTCCTGACCCCTTTTAATTGTCTAATTCCTATCTCCATTCCAGTTCTTTTTTACAGCAGAAAATATGGAATCACCTACGAGAGAAGCCCCTTCACAGCACTGTTGAAAATCAATAGGTTAAAAACAGGAAGGTCCCAGATTCCTGCTCGAAAACACTAAAAACACTTCATCCTGCAAACAGAAAGATCCTCAGATCCTGTTATGTTCTGTACAGTTTCGATTCCCCCTTTTTGATGATTTCTTCCATTTCGTCTGAGATCTTTCCTTTATAGTCATTTGGTTCTATTGCTTTTAACTTCTCTTGATACTCCAGTGGCAAACCGTTTTCTTTCGCACCCATGCAGATAACCTACAAATGGTTAAAACAAGGAAGCCCTTTTAGTTAGGAACATGCTTTAGTGTACCATAGCTTTGTCTGTACTGTCAAGGCCCATGACATTGGCTTTAGATGACTAAAGAATTGGTACACTTTAAAACAACTCAGGCACAGCCAGCTGTTCCTCACTCTGAGTGTGGCTGCAGAAGGGATCTCAAAGCATCTTGAAGCATTGTCAGAGTGTTGGTTCTACTCAACAGCATGACTCAAAATGTTTTAATATTAAGACAAAATGCACTGTTATGGTATAAAATTTATATGGTGTTTTAAGAAAAATTACATTAAAAAAAAAAAAAAAAAAAAAAGGCCAAGCTTTAAGCAGCAGTGCCACTGTCCACTTTTGCTCAGACCCCCAGACCCTAACCAGGCTGATCTCTGGACACCACAACAGAGACTCAGCACCTGTACCACCCTCTATGGCAGCCAGGTTCCATGGGCCACACACGGCACCTAGCCTCAGGTTTCTACCAAGGGGCATCCGGCCTCATCCCACTTGGGTCATGTGCTTTGGAGGTTGGATTCCCTGACTCCCAAAAGGTCTAGTGGCCTTCCCATTTAGGGCAGAAAATACTTCAGCGGCAGAAAATACATTCCTCTCCACAAAAGAAAAAAACAAAAACAAACAAAAAAAAAATGAATCTGTTCTATGAGATAATGTTTGCTGAAGGAAAAAAAAAAAAAAAAAGTATATAGACTCTAGTTCCAGGACAGCCTCCAAAGCCACAGAGAAACCCTGTCTTGAAAAAACCAATCATACATATATAATAGATATTATTATTATTATTGGTTTTTCGAGACAGGGTTTCTCTGTGGCTTTGGAAGCTGTCCTGGAACTAGCTCTTGTAGACCAGGCTGGTCTCGAACTCACAGAGATCCGCCTGCCTCTGCTTCCCGAGTGCTGGGATTAAAGGCGTGTACCACCAACGCCCAGCTATAATAGATATTATAAATCTATTAAGATCCATTTTATTTAAAACATTTTGATTAAAATGTTCACGTGGAAATTTAAATTCCTAAAAGCTTTCTAAAAATGAAATGCTCTCTAATTTAGCCCAGTGAAATTAAAATGATTCAGCACAGCCCAGGTAGCTCACCTTCTTATACTGTGGGGATGGGGGAGCACTTTCATAATTCGTCATCAGGTAACTTCGGCAGGTTATTTCTTTCCCTTCCTGAGTTGAAACTTTAATTTCTATTACAACATACACTCCACTTTTAACTCCTTCTTGCCTGAAACCAAACAAACCACATTTTAGCCACATGGGATCTGGGAGAATGGCTTATACGGTAAGATGTTTTACTCAAGGTGAAGTATAAGATTAACCACATATTTGTGTTGACACGTTTGCTCACTAAGTGCCACCATGTCAAAATACACTTAGCATTTTTTTTTAGCACTATGTAGCCCTGTCTGGCCTGGAACCCACTGTGTAGACCAGGTTAGGTTCAAGCACACAAAGATCCACCTGCTTCTGTCTCCTGAGTGTTGAGATTAAAAGTACGCCCAGCCTTGTTTTTGTGTGATACCACATCTGGCATGCTTAGTGTTTTAATGTTACAGTTGGCTTTTGGATCCACAGATTCAACTTTGGACTGAAAGTATTTTTTACAATGTGGGTCTTAACTGAATACATACAAATTTTTTTTTCCTGGTCATTATTACCTTAAAAGGAAATCTGTTACAGTAAAATACACTGATATTGGATTAAGCAGTGAAGTGACCCAGAGATGATGCTGCAATACAGGTGGGTAGGTCACGTACAACCATCAGTTTACAGAAGGGACTTCACATGTGCAGATTCTGGTGTGCTTAGAGGCCAAAGCAATACCCTGCCAATACAGGGGAACAACTGTGCTTGTGAACTTCTAGCAGATCTGTGTGTTTTTACTGTCTGAAAACATGATTCAATATGCTTATTTTTACCTTTGTGCCCCTGAAGCAGAATTCTGACAGCAAGAGAACACCCGAAGGGAAAGCAGAGGGCCTGCTTACTCTAGCGGGAGCCAAATACAGCACGCCGGACACTACGTTCTTTCCAAGGCCAGCTCTTCCCTGCAAGTTTGCTGTCTCACAACTCTGAGAATTTTAGTTCTACTGTGTTATTCAATGCCTTTACAAATTATTATTACTCGTTCAACTGCAACCTCAAAGAATTTAAAAAAAAAAACAGAATCAACTCACTTACAAAATAAAAATATGTAACAATTATAAAAAGCTTCATGACTTTCTGCAATATGAAACTAGAAAGATAATTTTTAATAAAAGACAAACAGAAATAAAAAAAATAAGGGCTCCCATGTTTTTGCCTAAGAGATGTCAAACATCCAGTCAGTAAATGTGACCCTTCTAGATTGATTACTAAACTGGCAGTTTCTAACTGTGTCCTGGCTCTGGAGTATAAAGAATGTATCCACAGTGTATCCACAAATGCACACCCATGTAACCCGCTTAAGTATTATTTTAGCTGATAATTAGAAGCCACCTACTCATCCAGAGAACTTAAATTGCTTTTGTTCATTTTCCATACTACTCCCCACACTTCATCGCCAGGACTTTGAAAAATGGTAGCTATACCTCCATGCCACCTCTCACTTGTTTTGCCTTGGAAATTGCCAAAGTCGAGCTTAAAGTCCTGCAAAGAAAACCAAAGTGATATATGATTAATACTTGTTTTAGTATGAATTTCCCTCCTCAAAATACAAATGATTTGCCTTGATCTCCATGAAAGAAAAATATTCAATAACCTTTGTTTCTGTGTGTACAAAGTTGTGGAACATAAAGATAGAAAGACCAAGACCCAAACTTTAAGGACTATAGATTCTTTCTTATTTTCCTTTAAAAATGAAGCTTCTTCTGAACATAGAGGCATCTAAACAAAAAACCAAAAAAAAAAAAAAACCAAAACAAAACAAAAAAACTTAAGGAAACCTAATATACCATACAATAGCTTTAGCTTTCATTTTTGTAAATGATTCCTCAGTCTATTTAAATGCATATACATTTTCATTTACACACTCTGGGTGATGGTTTCATAGGGATTATAATATGCTTTTATGTCTGTAGAGTATCTAACCTGCAAATCACTGTATTTACCCTAAATAAGCTGGCTTAGGGTTGATGAGCATTAATCTTCATGAACTGTACCAATTTATTTCCAGTAATCTAAAAGCAGCTAATACTGATTATTTATTGTGTGCTATATGCACTAGCTATAATAATCCCCATTACTTCACGTGGACCAGTGTTTTACTCAATTTACAGCAGAAAAATTACAGCGTAGAAGGATTAAATCACTTCCCTAAGGTCTTACAATAACAAGCAACAGAGACCCCTTTCTAATTTAGCTTCTACTACCACTGATGGGCAACCAGGGAGCGAGAGTACTTGCCTTGTGTAGTCTAAGATGTCCTTCCATCTCTTCAGAGCACACAGGATGGATTAAATGACAGTGCTGTAGCTCTTTCTGGCTTATATCATCCCTGCCACCCATGTTTACTCAAAAACCTTGTTTAATAATTCAGGAAAAATGCTGGTCCAAGTAACCAGGACCTTCAAGCAGCATACGGGGTAATTCAGCATCAGCAGATCTGATCAAAGATACAATCCACACCAGAGGCTGGCAGCCTATTGCTAAACACAGCAGGCAATTGCATTCCCTGTCTGGTTCCGTGGCTCACTGCTTGTATGTGATACAAGTAGCCATCTCTCCAGATTAGCCTTTTCTTCTAATTTGAGGTTGACCTGATCTTCTCACCTCTTTACCAACTACCCCTCTACTCCCCATCTTGAAATGTCAAGGTTTCTTGGGGTTCAAGCTTAGGCCCTTTTTTAATTTAGTCATGTGCCCAGGACAGCCTCATCACCTCCAGCAGCTTCTAATACCATCGGAGGCTTTGGCCACCTTTAAAATCAGCCCACATCTCTATTGTGAGACTTGAAAGCACTCAGAACGGGGCCCAATACACAGTAAGTGTCTAACAAATGTTCACTGATATTTTTTTGTTCATGTGATTGTCTAGGAAGCATCTTAAACTCGATTATGTTCAAAGTTAGCTAATAATTTTTACCTCCCAAATCTGATTCTTCTCTGTAAACATTACCATCATCATCTGCCTGGTTGTGCAAAACTTGAGTCATACACAATCATCAAGGTTTAATGATGTTATCTTCTAGGCATTGGTCAGAGCCATCTACCTTCCCTGACACCACCCTATTAGATCATGGAGGCATTATCTTTGATATGAATGTGGCAAAATCTTAAGTAGGCCTCCAATATCCACACTTGCTCCACTTTGCATAGTAACCAGAATGAGCTTTCAAGGATGTAAATCCCATCATTTGCTTTGAAACTCACGGCCTGCAAGAGATTGTCCAAAGGTCTCTTTGGTCACATTAAGATTCCATACTTTCTTGTCTTCCCAGCCCTCATGCTACACCTCCCTTACAGACTCCAGCCCCTTTGACGGGAACAACCACTTCCTCTTTCCTTGGGTTCTTTGAATAAGTATTCCTTCGATTTTTTGTTGTTTTGTTCCTTACCTCTCCATTCAGGTCTCAGCTTGAAAGTTGCATTCAGGAAGGCTTTCCTGAGCACTTTGAGCAGGTCCTCTGGTCATATATTCTATTGCACCTTGCATGTCCTCTTTTAAAGCTAACCCACAGCTATAATTTATTATTTATGAGGTGTTTCTTTCCTGTGCTCTGACTAAGCATTTGAACTACCTTCCTACACTCATGAGGAACATGACTTCCAGTTTTAAAACTTTAAAGGCTAGAAGCTGGTTATCAGACAGTCTTGCAGTAAGGGCATGGATACATGGTGAGGCTTAGCCAATCAGTACACCCAGAGAGGCTCCCCAAGAGAGCTAGTGTTCAAGATCACCAGGGACTCCACTCTGTGTTTCAGAAACTGCAGGGCTGTGGCACAGCAGCAGACAGGAGCCAGCTCCGCATGTATTTACTAGTTCAGGAAAGGTGCAGCCCATCTCCCAAGGTTGGGCTGGTTCTCTCCTTCGATGCTTGTGGTGTACACACACACACACACACACACACACACACACACACACACACACACACACACA